TAGTTGTGTACATTTGAGTTATAATTTGAGATAAGAATCTTTTTGAATTTGTGTTTGAGTGAGTCAAAGTTTAAATTTGTATTTAAATAGTATTTTAATAAAAACTCAATGCTGATGAAAAATTTTAATAGGGTATATGGGTCGAGTTTTATTCGTCTTTTCGTTGTCAACGCATAGAAAAAAAATCATCTCAATCAGAATTAAAACGAAAAAATTATAACATTTTTAAGAATAGAAAAAATACTGTTCATTAATTTGAATTCGAGTTTCTGAACTCGAGTTGAAAGAGAAATTTAAACTCGAGTTTTAGTCCTAAACTCGAGTTTGAACTCGAATTTAAACTCGAATTTAACTTAAAAGAACACGAACTCGAATAAAGTTGTAACTCCAGTTACTTTTTTTTTTTAAGTTTTTCACTGAAAGAAGAAGCGGTAGTAGTTCAAAAATTAGCACATAAAGGCTGGAGAAAAAAATCTGTAATCAAATTATTATATATACTGAAAGGGGGCCAAATATCCACTGCAGTAAATAAGCAATAACAATATCACACGTAGTAATTTAAAACTCAGTGGACAAAATTCAGCAAAAAATCTTAATTAAATAAATTAGTAAAAGTAGTATAGGATTAAAGTCAGGAAAGGGAAAAAGAGTCAAAGGATAATCAGTTCAGAGAAGGAGGAAGAAAATCAAAAAAGAGGAAAAACACAACCATTTTTTTGTGTGTGCAGATTTTCTACATTTCAGACAATAAAAGGAGAAAAAATCACCAACTCATTTAATGCTTTTGCAACAAAGACGATATAGATCATCAAGGCAAGAATACAAATCAGCATCCTAAGTACCACATCATCACTATAGATCACCGAATCAATAAATGCAAGGGGAATTGATTTAGCCGAAACTCAGATACAAAATCAGCTGGCATAAAAATCTTCAGAGAGAAGAAAAATCCGGCACTCACCTATAGAAATCAGCCATCGAGAAGATCCAACCATATAAGTCTCTCTGCACAAACAAATAAGCTGATGCAAGAAACAAAGCAATTATTAAAATTTCGAGAATCATCAGTAGAAAGAAAAAGTTGCAAAATACAAAATAACAATAGATTTTAAACAACAAAGAAATTCAACAAATCAACCAGAATAGAAACCAAATCACCAATAAAGACAAAGCATGTTATTTAAAAAAAAACAAAAAAAAAACATGGAACCTAGAACATTCACTCCGCGAAGAACACAGAAAAGACCATGCAAAATCACAAATCAAAACAACGCGAAAGCAGCAGAAATTTTGCACAAAAAAAGGAAAAAGGAACAAAAAAGAGTGGTGATCTTTAAAAGAGAAAGAACAAAAAAACAAAACCATACAAAAATCTCAACGGAAATCGCTAATCAAAATAGCAGCGAAGGAGCCAAGACGAATTTTTAAAAGGGAAAAATAAAAGTATGAAACGACATAAAAATCCCAAGGAAAATCGCTAATCAAAACAGCAGAGAAAGAGTCAAGACGAATCAATTAAGCCTGCACCCAAAGCATCAGAAAACCAAGATCAAATAAGAAATGAGAAGAATCAAGAAGCAACAAACGCAGGCAAAGCTTCTGACAAAGACGAAAACGAAAGAGGCGGCCAAAGCAAAGTTACCGAAGAAAGAGATGAGCCCTAGAGCTCTGTGGCAAACAAAATGACCGAGAAGGCCAAACTCAAACCAAATAGAGCCATCAGCAACTAGGGGCAAAAACGTACAATAACAACCCATCCCATTAAAAAGACACAAAAGCCCACGCACGGAAAAAGGAAAAAGGAAAAGGAAAAAAAGGACAAACCGAGAAACACAAATTCATTATACAATGAAAGGTGTATTTGTGGTTAGGGCTGTTCATAAACCCGAATAACTCGTAAATTTAACCTATCTCGTTCTAATCCAAGCTAAAAAAAGTAATTCGTAGTATTATTTTTAGATTTGTGGCTCATTATATCTCTGGTCTGAAGTGTTTGGGACGGATTACGGGTTGGGCCCATAACAACCCGTAATTCCCAACCCAACCCGTACAACATACCCCTAAGCTTTCGGCCCAAGCCGAACTGCTTAAGTTCTACCCTAGGCTCGCTAACATTAGGGTTCACAATCTCATTCTCGGTCTCCCCTCTCGTGAACCCCCTCTTCTTGCCTCTTCCTTTTCAGTTTTTTCTCTTCTTCCCCTTCCGTGAACCCCCTCATAACTCTCTCCTCATTGCTCAGTTCTCTCGGCCGCCGTCTTGCCCACTTTCTCCGGTGCTCTCTCGCCAGACTGATAAGGATGGTTGTTATTTCTATTTAATGATGAAGTTTGAATATTATATTGAACTTGAATGTTGAAACCGACCACCCAACCCACCCCGCACCGCCCCAACCCAACCCGAACATTGTTGGGTTGTGAAATTTTTCTAACATCATTGGGGCCAAATATGTGCAACCCGCACCCTTTAGTGCGGGGAAAAAAAAGTCCTACCCCGCACCAACTCAACCCATGAACAGCCCTATTTGTGCTTGTGTGAACAATGGTTCACAAGCACTCCCTTATTGGCTTAGTTTTGTATTATTTTTTTCTCTTAAAATCAGCTTCTGTTTTAACAGAAGTTAATTTTAGTGTTTAGTAAATCTCCTCAAAAGTATTTTTAGAAAAAAATTTCAAGAATCTACGGCCAAAATCAGAAGCAACCTAAAGACAACTTTAGCGTTTAGATTGTGCGAGAATCAGCATAGTACAATTAATGAAACTTTTATAATACCCATAATATTTCTAATAAAATTTAAAATTTACAATCTTCTCAATCTAAAATTCAGACTCGTAATATAATATAATAGTTAATATTGTAACAAGTAATATCATAATTATATTAATAACTCTAATATTATTATTTTATCATATAATATGACATTATAATAATATTATAATTATTTTAATAATATAATATTATAATTATAATATAATTATAATATGATATTGTAATTATTATTTTATAATATATTATATTGTATTGATATAATTATATTTATTATATTAATAATTAATATAATTTTATATTAATATAATTTTATGGTTCTAATATTATTATATATTATAATGTATTACTCACGTCATGATTAT